TGTGTGTGTGTGTGTGTGTAGACGCTACACTGCCCTGACTGTTCACAGCTGAGGGAGGAACAGAGTCAGAGCTCTGGGTAAACAGTGACAGTCCCGCCCTGGCTTTCATTAAGGAGTCGCTCTGTTTGCCTGAAGTGAAAAGCACACGCACTGTGTTACACCACTTCCTGTCCTTGATACCCCTCTGGCTGTCCTCACTGTGGACTCACTGTCCACTTCAACAGGAAGTGGAAACACTGGCCGGGGGAAAAGGACACATTGGAGCGCGTGTTGGGAAAAGAACAAAACAAACAAAAATGTTTCAGGGTGACATCGGGAAAACTCATCCTCGGAGCTGGAGTACGTGACAAATCACCGTCTGATACGTTATGTGATGGTGCGATGACATTATGTGGACACTTTGACACAGTGAGGTCCACGGACCATATGTTAGACATTATGGTTGTGAGTCGGAGATTATCGCAAAGTTTAAAGAATGTTTTAAAATGTATCACAGAAACACATGCAGTTGTTTTGTGTGTTTTTTTCTGTAATATAATATATATTTATTAGGGACGTCCGATATTAACTTTTTGCCGATATCCGACATGCCGATATTTTCCGAACACTTAATTTCTGATTCCGATTTCGACTGATACCGATATTGGCCCGGTAATATTTATTTATTTATCCATACAAACCACTGTATACAATCCCCTGGTTAAAAAAAATTAAAACAGATTAATAAACTGCAATGCTGCCCTCTAGTGAGTTTCACGTTAATATACAGCAATTTATTCTGTGAATTTCACTTTAATATACAGCCGTTCAATCCCCAAAACTATTTTTAGATCATTTGGTGAAACCCAGGCATTGAGAGGAAAAACCAATAACTAATAACTTAATTATGCTAATATTAGCCGATAATATCAGTCGACCGATATCCCAGTCTGTGGCTGCCATTTTACTGGTTAATCTGGTTTAATCCCACCGTCCGAAAACAGACAGACGATTGTGGTTAATTGTTCACAATAAATCGAACAAATGGTGTGAATATCGGTGTGAATGCTTAAAAAACAGCCCCTCCCCTCCAGACTCCCCCCTCCCTCACCCAACTCCATGGAAAAGACGAAGCCTTCTAGGATGTTCCAATAAATCAAATTTATAAAAGTCAATTATAAGAAGAGTTCAAAGACATCAACAACAAAAGTAAAAAATTCAAATCCTGGACAATTGGATTATTCTCAGTCATGGGGATAGATTTAATTATCTTTTTTTATTTTATTATTTAAGCCCCAGACTTTGAATCTGTGCTTGAAAAACCCAAACCATTCCCAGTTTATTAGTTTAACTCCCAGTAGCCTGCGAGAATCTGAAAAAAAAAAAAAAAAAAAAAACAATCACGGGAACGACTGTCAAAAACTGAAGTGTTTAATAATCTGAACATGATGCGTTCAGTGTCGTTCCAGGTGAAGTCACGTTAGGAGACCGTGACTAAACAGCACGGTGTGTTTTTTTTTGTTTTTTTTTTTAGGGAAGTACCAGAGTCGAACTACCTTCATCCACTTGGACGCTTTCCCAAAACTGCGAGTCATTTTTTTTTTCATAAGACGGCGTAACAATGTCAGCACTCACAGCAATGAGATCATCTCATTGGCTTATTGTTCACCTTGATTGCTCGCAGACAGTGACAAAAACACACAGGGGTGGTATTTAGAAAAGTGTGTGATCTTATAATCTAGCCCAGAGCCAGATGGCCGTGTAATACTGATCCACAGGCAGTTAAGAGATCAGGTTTTATCTTTTTTTTTCTTTCTCATAATTTCCGTGCATTTGTGATGATTGTATTTCTACACACACACATACACACACAGGTGTTCAACCTCACAGCCAGGGGGCGTGTCTTATGACAGGTCAGAGCCACAGTGATGTCTGAGAGACGCAGACGAGACGTGATGGTTACGGCCGAGACAATTACTGCATTAAGGAGCAGCGTTAACCCCAGGAGTATTTACTCAGACGTGTTCAGTGTCTGTGTAATCACAGACTTTTACAACTTTCCAAATCCCACTCTATTGTTTGGCTCTTTTTGAATTCGGTGAGTTTTTTTTTTTTCTGACGGTGATTTGTTAGCTCTCTTTTTGAATTCGGTGAGTTTTTTTTTTCTGACAGTGATTTGTTAGCTCTTAGAAAAGGCTAATTTTAGGACTTTTCTGCATCACTTTTACAAATTCTGTTGAAACTGCTGACTGGATACAAACTGATTTGACAAAGACAAAAAGATTAAATGCATCAGGGACAAAAAAAGGGCTGTGCAGCAACTGAAAAAGATCTATAGCAGTGATGATCAACTGGCAGCCCGCGGGCCACATCCAGCCCACTGAACCCTCAAACCCGGCCCGTGACTGGATTCTAAAATTGTATGGATCAAAGAGAAAAAAACAAAAACCAAGATTTCTTGGACGGTCAATTTTTTTGGGGGTGCCATTTTTCAAAATTTTATTACAAAACTGAAGACCAAACAGTATTTCCTCTTTGAGCCTCACACTTTTGGAATCTAGTCGTGGGCCGTTTTGGACGGTGTGGTGGGCCAGATTTGGCCTGCGGGCCTTCAGTTGAGAATCACATACACAATGGTATTAAATTATGTCGTTCCTGGCATTAAACGACTCAGTTAAAGACAAACAGGTGAGACCAAACAGAGTCTCAGGTGTGAAGCTGCTGAAGCGTTGCCGTGTTATTAGCGTCTCTGACTTCAGCTGTGATTATGATCCGCCAGGCTTCACTCCCCTGGTTCAACTCCAAACACCTTTTTTCATCCTGGCTGAGTGAGGGCTGCTCTCCAGCACCGAGGAGACTTACTGCACTAATCCACCTTCTAGAGTGACACACACACGCAGGAAATTCAACCCCGCTGCGTCCCACTCACGCACATTCAGGCATTCGTCAACGCACGTAAGCGTGAAGCTGCAACTTTGTGCAGCTCTGAGGGCTGTTTTTGGTGAAAGGTCACTCTGATTTTTTTTCTTTCGATTTTACGTTTTGTTAAATGCTTGAATCAATCATAGTCAGATATTAGAAGGAAAATAAAAGAAGAACCTATTCACAGGTATGGATGAAGCCACAGTGGAGGCCCTGATCGAAAGAGTAAAAATGTGTGAAAATGAATTGATCTGAGTTTCCGCCTGATGTCAGGGATGGTATAAAAAAGAGTCCCAGCATGTGAAGGGTTAAAGGGTCGCCTGCTCCACGTATTACTGTTCAGGTACTGCAGTACGTGAAGGACATGGACTACAGTTTGTTTGTGTTTTTTACTTCTGGTAAATATCAACCATCCAGTTACAATACAAAGATAAATA